AAAAAAAGAATTTTCTAAATATAACTTACCATGTATAATAAGCTATTGACCAGTTTTTTATCACTACTTTTTCCGGAGAAATCTTGCACGTAAACTTTAAAAGAAGATATCCTATAAAAATTGAAGTACACACTTGGGACCTCTTTAAAGTAAAGTTCATGGCATTCTGATATTGCTAATGTGTTAAGCCATCCCTTGTGTTAAGGAATATACCCTCAGGTTCCATCCCTCCACCTACAGTGGCTCAGAAACTAATTTTATTGACAAATGTACCAAAAGTGCATTTTGGGAGATAAAAGAGCCCCTTAATGCTACAAGTTTTGTTCAGGTATGCGGGCGGGGTGTATCAGGGCGGACACTGCAGTGTTGGGGGATTGCACAACCTCTTGTGCCGCACCAAGGCCATGGTGTCTTACGGGCGAGTAGGCAAATCCGCAACGCTGCGGCATCCTTTCTGATGACACCCTAATGTTGTTCTTTAATTACCAAACATTCACGCAAGAGTACCGTATTACTTAGACACTTCTCGTCTCTTGCCCATTTCGTTTACCCGCGCATGTCGAATGTTGGCGTTGTTTTTCATTATTTGTTTTCCTACCAACGTGCCCAGCAGCAGCAGCTCTCCCGATGTTTCGCCCGTCCGGAACCGGCCCACCGCCAAAGCGGTCATCGACGACAGCAGCGACGAGGCCAGCGACGCGAGCGCGCCTACGGGCCCCTCGGCGTCGTCGGCCGCGCCCAGGGTGCCCCCACTGGAGGGTCTGGCGACCCGCCTGCCGACGAGCCTCGCGAACCGAGCGCCCCTCAGCAAGTAAGTTGCCGTCTCAGCAATATATGTAACACCCCGAGTCCCGAGCACTGCCAGAGTTACCTGGTCATTTCACTGTGGGAGATTGTTGTACAGGGTACAGGGAAATTTTCCCTGTAATGTGTCGCACATTTACATATCAAAATTTGTAAATTTACTAGCACTGCTTACCGACCTGAAATCCATTGACGAGCAAAAGTGCGATGTTGTTCATGTAAAACGTCTTTGTAAATTGTTTGTAATTTACTAAATATGTTGTACACAGTACAGTGTTGTGTTTACAGCCGGTGGCTGATTCACGCCGCGCACTTTCGTAGTTATACTGCACCGCATTCACGCGTGCGGGCGGGTTGCCTACTCGCACGGAGCCGTAAGCAGCCGTGTTAGGCAGCGAGCATAGGCAAGCCCGCTCGCACACGTGCGTGCGGTAGAGTATTACTACGAAAGTGCGCGGCGTGAATCAACCACCTGGTAGGTCAAGGCGGTTATTTTGCTGTTCACGAATGAGGGGTTCAATTCCTCTTTATACTGCCGCAATCTTATTCGCTGTTTTGTCTTCTTGTTGCAGCTCATCCCGCTCCCGGTCCAACTCGCCGTCCAACGACTTGGAGTGGGAGAGGCAGTGCTCGCCGTTTCGTCAGGAGCGGCAAGAGGGCCACCGAGAGCGGGGCCGCGACACGACGACCACCAAAGAGCTGCACCAGTCCGTCAAGAGGAAGAACGAAGACGACAGGGCGCGCGCCCTCAAGAAGCACCTCGGCGACAAGACATCCAAAGAGAACAAGCCGGCCGAGAGCACCGCCAGCAGGGACAAGCACGGGCTGGCGGCAGTCGCGAGCAAGCGGCGGCGCTCGTCGGACAGCTCGTCGTCGAGCAGCAGGAGGACTTTAGAAGAGTGCGGCAAGTCGCACAAGTCTTCGAAGAGCAGCGGGGACAGAGACAAGTACTCAAAGAGCAGCGACAAGTCCTCGAAGAGCAGTGGAGACAGGTCCTCGAAGAGCGGCAGGGACAAGTCGTCGAAGAGCGGCAGGGACAAGTCGTCGAAGAGTAGCAGGGACATGCCTTCAAAAAGCAGCGAGGACAGGCCCTCGAAGAGCACCGAGGACAGGCCCTCGAAGAGCACCGAGGACAGGCCCTCGAAGAGCACCGAGGACAGGCCCTCGAAGAGC